TCTGAATTGTGACCGAAGCTCTCTGTGTGGCTGAGAGATGCAACCAGACCCTGGCCTTTCAACAGTTATCCTGTGTGTCCCCAAGTGCATTAGTACAAAGTGAAGTTGAGAGCTGCTGATTGGTCATTAGAATTTTCTGACCTCGACAATCCAGGCTCCTATCAATCCAGACAAATTCACTTTGTGGTCCTGTTACTATTTTTTTAATATTTATGATAGGCCCACAAGTTTTCTGGGCATGCAGTTGTCGTTTCCCAATTATTAAAAAAAAATTTCTGAAGTCAAATGCAGATAGTATATTTGAGATCCAATTAAAAGTATAGCCGAAACCGGTTTGGCTCAGTGGATAGAGCGTCAGCCTGTGGACTGAAAGGTCCCGGGTTCGATTCCGGTCAGGGGCATGTGCCTGGGTTGCGGGCACATCCCCAGTGGGAGATGTGCAGGAGGCGGCTGATCGATGTTTCTCTCTCATCGATGTTTCTAACTCTCTGTCTCTCTCCCTTCTTCTCCGTAAAAAATCAATAAAATATATATAAAAAAATAAATAAAAAATAAAAGTATAGTTACTGAGTGCTTGTTATCTGTGCAGAACTGATAAATACAGCCCAGCTTTTGCCTGCAAGGAGTCTAGTTTATTTAAACCATGGGCCAATATAATATCCATACGCGCATTTTTCTTATTTTGTATAAATATGTATAATAAATTCAAAAAGCTCACTTACTGCCCACCTTGGGTGCTCAGCATCAAGAAAGAGGGATATATGTTGGCATAAAGGTAATGAAGGTGTTTCTCCTACATAGCATGATACTATGATAATGACCATAATGATATTAAGAAAGATAAGAGCTGCCACCTTGGGCAAGGTCAAACCACTGGTCCCAGTGAATCTGATGAGTCTGGTCAAGCAGCGACAACAGGTGATTAAACAGCTGCCTGGTTATACTATCTGTCAACCTCTTCTGCCAGCAGAAATAGAGAGTCCTTTTCCCCCTCCAATGTCCCCTACATTTAAAGAGGAAAATCAAATCCAGTGTTCCAAATTACCAAGGCTACCTTAATTATATAGAAAATTTAAAACAGCCAGTGTAAATTGGGGGAGCAGCAGAGTACAGCTGTACCCAATTGGGGTATATCAACCAGCTCAAACACCTTGGCCAAGTGTTTAACCTCTCTGACCTCTGTTTTTCTTCAGCCTACGTGACTGCTACGGGGCCAAGTCAGAAAATTACATTAAGTACTTTTCATGTGTTTTGCATGTAGTAAGTGTGTAATAAGTGGCAGCGGCTGTTTTTACTTTTAAATACCAAAATAGTGCAATAGCTATATTTCCTATCTATTAAAAAAAATACCTAAGATCAAAGGTTGCCATGGTCAGGGGGAGGGGGAGAAGACTACAAAGGGACTGGGGGAATTTTTTCAGGCGATGGACTGTTCTATATCTTGATTGTGGTGGCAATTACATGACTGTGTGTTTGTCAAATCTCAAAGAACTGAACACCAACAGAGGTGAATTTTTACTTTATGCAAATCATACCACACTTTTAAAAGTACCAACTAAGATATTCAACTAGTTTTGATTAAAATAAACAATTCAAGTATATAAACACTTTAACTTCATTTATTTGGAAAATTAAAAAGAAATCTGAGGCCTAAAATGCTACTTCATATTTTTAGAACAAGCTCCCAACTTAACGGATTCAGCTATTTGTAAAAAAATGGATGTTATCTGAACAATTAACCAAATTAACTGTTTCAAAATAAAGTGTGCATTGTATTGAGTGGTGTGATGAGATGAAATATTGAAAGAGAAAATGAAAGTGATGTTTTCATTCACTAAGATTACTTAAGATGACAAACATAATAATGGCTCCTTCCCTAAAAATCTAGTCATGGGCCTTTGCAAATAATTTAAAAGGTGTAACACTATTTTCAATAAGCTAAGGAAAAGTAGAAAAGTACAGTGACAAGTTCCATGATTTATTGATCTTCTCACGGTTCTGTAAAAGGTTCTACACGGCTGCTTACTCTGAATTTTCATCAACACTGTTACCAAAAACAAGGAGCTCTTTTTGGGTAAGATCTGTGCATCTACTTTGGCAGAAATGTAGTTTGACAACAATTTCTTACTCAACACCACATTCACAAACCAGATGGAGTTCAAAAGAATTGGTTTTAAACGAAGATTACAGTTCTGGTCAGCCCACAGTGTATTTCTGCGAATGTCCTGCACCTCAACAATAGACCCCTTGCCCACTGCATATCACATTTAGGCTGAGTTCTCCCTTTGATTTGAGGATCTCCACCTGAGAGGGCTGTCAAGGGTGTAATGAAGATGGACGCTAAGAAACACGCATAGCTCACAAGCTGGACGTTTCAGCTAATGCAACCCCGTAAATTCTGGTCTCTGTTCCTTAGCTCGCATTTACTCCTGCCATCTTCTCACGCCTCCCAATTATCATCTTACTTACTAATCTACTTCCGCCTCTACTATTCTATCACCTGACTGCATGCATCCCTTATATTCAAAAGCAACATAAGAAAACCCAGGAAGGATGTCACTATTTCCTTTTTACATGGACGTTCACTAAGCTTTTTATTATTTTTTAACAAAAGTGAAATATGTCTGCCATTCATATGACAAAAATGTGTGTGCATTAGTCATTGCTTTTTATAAAAGTTGATGTTAAAGTAAAAGATCTCTTTATTTCTGTTAGTATGTTGTCTTGATGCTATTATGTTTTTTAGAAAATACCACACTAAAAATCTTGATTCTTCAAGATACCAATTCAAGGGGAAACATACCAACTAGTTACCTACTTAATTACAGCATAATTCTTTCCTAAATCCAGGCTTGATCAACTTCAAACACCACATCCACAGTTGTAAGGGGTGTTTAAGAAAAATGCAAGGTGAAAATAGATGCAAGAAAAAGGAGTCAAGCGAGTCATCATAGGAGGTGCAAGTCAATGAATATTATATGAGACGAGTAAATCCAAAATAACCCACTTTAGAAAGTAAGAGACCTTAAAGAGAAAACTTGTGCTTCCTTATCATTCCTCTGTTTACTCAGGAAGCAATCTAGTGAGGCCTTACTATATTCCTGTCAATGTGTATCTAGGAATACAATTGTGAACAAGAAGCCAAACTGCCTTCATTAGCAAGAAGAAAAATGACAAAGAAATCTTTGAAAGTTTAACATTTCAAAACCCAGTGATTTCTGAATAATTAATCATTTTCCCACATTCTTCTAAGACTCTCCAATGAAGAAATGACATCTACTGATGAGTTCTCAATTCCACATATCAGAAATATTTGGCAAACCGCCCTTCCCAATCCCCCGAAAATGTAAAATTAAAACACCTACTATTTTAATTAAGTTACACTACTGTAAACACCAATAAAGTTTGAATTATTTTAAAATATAAAAATATGTCCCTCCAGGAAATTGGGGGTAAGGAGTTAAAATTAAGTAGGCTGGTATCTCTCTGGAATTTCCCCCCCTCAAATTTCATGAATGCCACCGTGCAAAATCACCACGAATCTCTGGTCACCAATAAAAAACAGATCTGACACATAACTCTGTCAATAGGATTGGTTATCATGCACAGTTGAAAGCCACTTACATGGAAACATAAAGTACAGAGTAAAGGGAAATAAGAGTCACTAAAAGCTAGGTATGCACAAAAATATATTTTACTGTCCTTAGTTAAACTCGAAACGCCTGCTGCAGATAGTGAATACACCTGAGCTTTAAGCCCTTCAATTGTGCCCTTGCCCAGACATAAACTGTGCAAACAGATGACAAAGCGAAAAGCAGTTTCACAACTGCCTGTTACACAGAGTAGCAAGGCGGTATATTTCACTAGGTTACTGTATGAGCTGATAACACCATCTTGCATTGTACTCAGAAGACTGCTGTAGGTCCAATTAAATTCCAAATACCACCAGTGCCAACTCTTTCCACTGTGGCCCATTCTGTCCTCCTCCCCACCAGTCATCAGCCATAGGAAGGGTAGGTGCAGCCCTGTCAATGTGCTTTGCGGCTGCTCACTGTCCTGGTAACGCCTTGCTTTTCAGAAAGCAACATTTTCTTATTTACTCCAAACTTGAGCAAAACGAGCTAGTCTTGCCTAAGGCTCTGCTCTTCTTAGCTCATCAACTAATTTTTTTTTCACTTCATGTCACGAGAAATATTTTTACACTGCAGACCAAAATGTAATACAAGAATGAAGCCACCACAAACTCAGAAGTTCCTAATATTACGTCTGGAGCTTAAAATACACAAGACCACCGCTGACTTTTTCTGCTAAATATCACAATGCAAAAGATATCAAAACCAAGCAAACTGCCCAAAAGAACTTGCACAGAACTGAAGGCCAGCCTACTGCAGCAAGAAAAAGACTAAATTGTGCAGAACTATAATCTCTCAGAGCTTCTGAGCCTGAGAAAGCGGAAATCTGCATAGATGTTCAGAACCAATGTCTCCGTGTGACTGAGTGATCAGACACTTTGCAGCCTCCAACTACAACCGTTGGCAAAAGGCCACTATACACAGGTCAGAAGAAACCTATTAAATAATCGGTTCAACCGCCTGGGATTTTTTAAGAAAATGTCTTCACATCATCACTAACTGTCTTGAACATCAATAGAAACCATACAGGGAGTCTGTTACCAGCCAAGGCTATCCCCAGAGGAACACGTCCTGCCCTGCCAGGTACAGGCCATAATCCCAGGCCAACCCTGGGAGAGGTGACAGTCCCAAGTTCAACCGGGAATGTCTGAACACAGCTCCCCCTGCACATTAAGGAACACCTCGCCAGTTTTCCCAAATGCATTTGCATCCAATCCCTGCTCCACCATCCCAAGCACCCGTGCACCAGCCGCTCCCGTTAGCCACGGGCTCCTCCAACAACCCCCTCCTCCCAGCACCACTTCCCTCTTGGAGAAACGGACCCCAAGGACGGCTGCGGTGGGCGCTGAGCGCCCTTCTCCCACCTACCTTGATGATGCTGCTCCGGCGGGGCAGGCCGCCCGGTTTGTTTTCCCGGGGAAGGGGGCAGGCGGCGGGGGTCGGGGCGAGCGCCCCGCCGTGCGGTCCCCTGGCGGGGCTGGCCCGAGCTTCATCCCCGGACACGCCGAGGCTGCAGTCTCCGTTGGAAACCCCGCCGCTGTCACAGCGCGCCAGTCCATGGCCGAGGCGACCTCCCCCGCCGCCGCCTTCCCCGGCTCCGGCTTTCAGGGCGCCCTTGGTGCCGAGGGCCGGACCCGGGGAGGTGGGCAGGGCCCCGCCGGCGGCGCCCCCCCGGCCGCACTCCGCCATGGGCGCCCCGCGACCCGCCAGCACAAAGCCGCGTCCCCGCGTCCCCGCCGCCGCCTCGGGCCGCCGTGCGCGGCCCCTCCTCCTCGCCGCCTCCTCGCCTCCTCCCGCCGCCGCCTCGGCCGCTTCTTCCGCTTTTTTTTTTTTTTTTTTTTTTTTTTTTAATTTAGATGTGATGTTTGTTTGGAGCTCGCCTCGCGCGCGATGGAAGTCGTGGCGGCGGAATGGTCGCCGGATTCCTGCAGGGAGAGAAAAGAGAGACGCGAGTCAGCTCGCGGCGGAGCCGGGCTCCCGGCACCTGGGGAAGAAAAACACGCCCCGGCACACGCGCCGCCGCGGGCGCCAAAAATAACCCGCGCGGGCCGGGCGGCCACCCAGGGCTCCGGGCACCCATCCCAAGGTAACGGGGCGCCCAGCTCTGGGGCTCGGGGCGCCTCCCCCGGGGCTCAGAGCACCCAGCCCGGGGCCGGAGCGCCCACCACGCGGCAGCCAGGCGCCCTGCCCCGGGTCGGAGTGCCCACCTCGGGCTCGATGCCAGGGGAAGCCGCGGGCGACCCGAGGCGCCCTGGCCACGCGGACGCGCCGCCTGAGGTCTCGCCGCCCCGCGCGAGCGAGAGGCGACGCGGGTCTCCCGGATCCCAACTCCCCAACGGCCGTCGCGCGCCGGCCCCGCCACGTCCCCCCGGGTCCCGTGGGGCCTGAAGCGCCGACGGGAAGCGCGCGGCGGGCAGGGCGGGCGGGCAGTGACAGCCGCGGTGTGGCCCGGGTAGCCCAGACCCACCCCTCCTCGTCCGGGGCGCGGCACTGCCCCCTACAGGCCGCGGGGACCCTCCCGGTCGCACGGACCCACCGCGAGCCTCCCCGGGCTCCCGCTGGAGGTCGCCGCCGACGCGGTGGGGCTAGGTCATCGGGCCGCGGGGACCTCGCAGCCCAGAGGTCAGCGACCGACGGGAGGCAGCGACGGGTCCCGGATACCCCCAGCCCCACTAGAGCCGCAGCAACTGCCGATCACCCAGGCGCCCCGAGGGGCAGCGACGCGCAGGCCCGAGGTCAGGAGCTAGGTCTCCGGTCTCCGGGGCCGCTGCGCCCCCCTCCAGACCCCAGCCCCACGCGCTGGACTCGTTCCCCTCCCACCCAGCTGGGGAGAAGCCACCCCGACGTTCCCCGCTGGGCTTCCCCAGTGGGTCAGATCCAAGTCACGTGCAGAAACCAATTCTGTTCCCTTAGGCTCCTGAACTGTAAATTGATTCAGCTGGTTTCAAGGGTGCCAGAGCCGGGAGGGTGGGGGGTGGGGAGGGAAAGATGAGCTTGCTCTGCCCTCTGAGTCGCCCTACATGGATGTATCACCAAAGTCCCTCCCTCCCTCCTAGGGTCCTTCCGGATCCCAATGCCAGAGATGTCAAGCAGTCCAACCTTCTGAGGGCCCCGCCCTAGGTCAGGCTCTTCTTTGGGGGCCAGGATATCACCTTTGGATCACAACAGCCGGTCCCTCCTCCCTCTGGTCCTCCCGGTTACCCCCGGCCCCAATGCTTCAGGTAGAGTAACCTGCCTAAAAATCAACCTTGATCATGTCGCTCCTGGCACAAACACCTCCCTGGGAATCTTCATCCCTCCTGCCAGAGAGGGCCAAGCTCACAGCTTGGTACCTGAGGCCCCACCCAACCTGGCCCCACCCACCTCTTCATCCCAGCCTCCCAGGCTCCAGCCCTCCTTTTAGCATCCCAGCTCTTCTCTAAGGAGTGAGAGTCCTTGTCTAGGAATGCGCTTCCAGCAGGGCTGAAGGAGAAACCGATAGTCCCCTGGGGGCTGAACTTAAAGACCTTGCTTTCATTAGCATGATGTTGTAGCAAGCTGCCAAGCAGCCTCTGAGGAAACGGGCTTTACATACGTGTATACATACCGGGCCCCTACCTCTGCCGCAACTTCAAATACCTTGATGTTATACTTGGGGGCGTTTTAATTCAGATATTCTGGATTCACGTTTTTGTAACCCATCAGACAGGCTTTTATCCATCTCTTGCCAACCAGGGTCTCCATGCTCACAGAAATAATTTTACATCGACGGACAACAATATTAGATTCAGTCCCATCACCGTTCCCTTAGTTTTAGTATTTTAAAAAAAAAAAAAATGTTGTCTTGTGATAGTTTTTGCAGAAAAATATGTTCAAATAATTCAAACCAGATTCTTAATCTACCTATTGAATTTATTGTCATAATATCCTCCGAGTATGCTGTGGGGGAGGAAAGGAAGGATGCTGGGCCTTTATTCCGAAAATTCTTTAACTGTGGTGCTTAGAATCAAGGCCTAGAGGTATCGCTGTCTTTCCTGCATTTGCCAATCACTGGTAAAATGCTGTGAGAGTCCCATATCTTGCAACTTGTGCCATGCGTTTCCCCTGGTGAGCGGGAATAGAGAGAGATGTAAACCTCCAGGATGCTTTTTATAAAACCACCATCTAATTCGCCTAATGTTCCCCCAAAGGAGCACCTATCCATCTCACTCTGGACTCCCAACAGGTCAAACCAGGGAGAGTTCGTTGAAATATACTTGGCATTTAAATTAAAACGTTTCCCAAAGTATCTTGGCAGACCTGTAACCAATGATGCCAGAAGCCCAAGGCCTGTGCCAGGTTCCTTTTCATCCCCATAAGTGCTTGTCTCCCACAAGCCGCTGGTCACACGCCTGCTGATGTTATAGCTGTACTTCTTCCTCACACCAACGCCAGACTGTGGGTCCCATTTCTCCTATGTGGTGATGGGAAGCAGCATGTTCCTCTGACATGTGCGATTTTCAGGAGGCTTTTTAATAGCTGAACTCAGACAGTTCTCATCACAAGCAGCATAGTAAGTGACTGTTCTTCCGCCTTCCTTATTTCTCAGCAGTTACTAAGTGATTGCTTTCCATTTCTCCTATTTCATGAGCAGTGTCATTGAAAAAATTGTAAGTAAATATTTTGCCAAAATTCTTGCTGAAGTGTTTTCATGGCATTGTAAAAATCATAGAAATTACAGTGAAAAAAAGACCTAAAATATCATAGTCATTCCTCAGCAAATACTATCTAATGGTTCTTTCAGACTAATTTTTCAGAGTAGGGCAATCAGAAATAGGCAAGGCATTAATAAAATGCTCATTCTAGATAACTCCAGGGTGTTTATGCCAATTTATTATATCTATATTGTAATGGATAGATTCCAATTAATAATTTGTTCATAACGTTTAAAGTCAATAGATACTGTTAAAAATCTCATTATCTCATCACGCCAGCAATACATAGCCTTATCTCTTTTAAATTTTCTTCATATTTCAGTCCGTCTCAACTTTTACTCATTGTTGCCACCCTTCACCAAACTGTCTTCTATTTGTCTGTGTCTTTAATTTGACGCCTAGAACAAGAACTATTCAGGCTCCTTGGTCCATAATAAACTTCTTTCACCTCCCAGGATAACACTGACGATGTCAACTGACTTCTTGCCATCGTTTATACCCTCGCAGATTATGAATTCATAATCTAGTTTCCAGTTCGCAGGCTCTAACATTATGACTAAATTTTTTCTGACTCACTGAACACTTGGCCTTCAGATTATTTTCCCCCCTGAATGTATTATGACAGTTTTCTTTTCCAAATCTCAATCTCATTTTATTTCCTTTATTTCTCTAAAGATTGAACCTCTGAACCTTCATATTTGACTGTTCCCCATAGGCTTAATGTGAGAGCTTACTAGAGCAGAAAGTAGAAGACCCAAATGCTTTAAGGAAATAGTAGATCATATCAATGTACTGGACCACAATGGCTACCCATTTGCTTCCTGCATTTATCCAAGGTGTTGATTTTAATCTATTATGCTCCTAAGGCTTGGATTATGTTTATTTTCCTCATGAGTCTCAGCAAGAAATATGTAGTGATTACCTTTCTTCCTAGGCACCAGTGAAACAAGTAAGACCTGCCAAAAGCTTTCATTTGCATATTCTGACTCTAAAGATTCTTCACGCATTTTCCTTGAATCCACCTTCTTCACATGTATATGGTTGCCAACAAGTAAGCCACTCAGAGTTATAGTGACACTTTCCAGCCACTGAGGAACCACGACCTGAATTCATTCAATTGTTGCTAGTGGATATTGAGTTAGGTAGCACTTTGAGGGAATCTATTAATTACTGGGGACTTGATGGGATTATTCTATCAGCAAAAGTAACAGGATGATTTCCTCTATAAAGTACTGTTGCTTATCATGCTACTTTTGTAAACTCTCAACTATTTGATTGCATTTCTACTATTATTTTATTATAGGAGTCACTGCACACTCAAGTACCTATAGGATCCAGGCAAAGAATGCAGTGAGTGAAGCTGGGAGGATTTGTTTCATAAGAGCAGTATGATTTACAGTTTTTCAAGTGATATATTTGCATATCAAATACAGAGGGATACTCTTCCTGAGTCATCTTTGGTTTTCCAATTTTGAAAGATCCTTGCCTATAAGAAATATTTCCTTTTCCTCTTTACTCTAAGAAAAGACAGAGTGAACATAATGATAAATGGCAACTGACAGCCAAGTGTAGGGCAGTGATCTGGAGTGGTAGGGATTCAGATAACCTGGTGAGGAATCTTATTGCTGCCAGGATCATAATATTTTTCCAGAGAAGTAAAAAGAAATCTGGAATATAAAATTCGCTAATGTATTAGTTCATTCTGTTAATAGAAGGACACTCAGGAAGTGAGATCTCCATATATTATTCTGTAGAAGGTCTACAGGGAGGCCTATGTTTTTCTTATCCTACCTCCTAATTGCATTATAAGCAAAGCAGAACAAATACCTTCCAAATTTTTCATTTATTTGGGTCTCATCTGATTTTCAAGGGCAGATTTACTTAATGAATTTAAGAAGTCCAAGTCTGATGACCATATCATTTTACACATCTCAATGTGTGATGCATGGCTCCCAAACAACTTCCTTTCATCTACCCACTATCACTTCTCTGACATCTGAAGCTCAGGAAAGCCATTGTCTAGCCAAAAACTTTGCCCTTTCATCAGTCCCATCCCCAAGCCTATCTCCTTAGTAAGACCACCCCATCCCATGCTCAGTCTATCAGCTCTCATGTTTATATTTCTTCCCCATACTCAGCCTGAGCCTCATGGCCAAGACTTCCAACCACATTCTCACCAGCATCCTAGACCTCTTACATCACTGTCCTTAAATTGTGCCTACCTTGCCCATCTACAGCTTTGCGTAATTCCTCTGCTAGAGAAAAAACTCATATAACCAGGCTGACTAGACAAGTGAATGATTTCTGTGTCCAGCGGGGCCTTTGGTGCTCTTATTTAACCCTTTGCTAATTGTCTCTAATTTCCATTCTCCAAACTATTCCCTTCCAAATCCAAATCCCAACTTACTCACTGCCCTTCTTCTCATCAGTAGTCCTAGGACTCTACTTCACACAAACAATAAAGTATATCAAGAAACAAACTGTTTGCCTGCCAGTGTGGCTTGATGGTTGAGTGTCGGTCTATGAACCAGGAAGTCATGGTTCGATTCCCAGTCAGGACACATGTCCATGTTAGGGGCTTGATCCTCAGTGAGGGCCGTGCAGGGGGTGGCTGATGGATGATTCTCTCTCATCATTGATGTTTCTGTCTCTCCCTATCCATTCCTCTCTGAAATTAATAAAAATATATTTTTAAAGAAATAAACTGCTTCAACTTTTCCTGCCTCTTATTGATCCTTACCTCACCCACCACCCCTGTGAATCCTAAGCGAATCCAACATCAGAAACCCTCTATGAATGTCTTATATGATTATTGAACTCTTCTGTCCTGATATTATTCCTTCTTTGGG